CAGACTGACAGACGGACATGGCTAGATCGACTTTGCTGGTGATACTGATCAAGAATATATATACTTTATAGGGTCGGAAATGTCTCCTTCAATGCGTTGTAAACTTCTGACTGAAATTATAATACCCTATGCATGGGTATAAAAAATTATAAAATTGAAAACGTTAAAATTATGATTTACTTGCGTGTATGTTTAAAAACATTGAAGCTATGATGATTAATAATTCGATAGTTCCTATGGCAGCTATACGATTGACCCTATGGGAGCTATATGCTATAGTCGTCCGATCCGGCTCCTTCCGACTTATAAACTACTTGCAATAGAAAGGTAGCTTTTTCAGGCAGATAGCTTTAAAACTGAGAGACTAGTTTGCGTAGAAACGGACGGACAGACGGACAGACAGAAAGACAGACAGACGGACAGACGGACATGGCTAGATCGACTTTGCTAGTGATGCTGATCAAGAATATATATACTTTATAGGGTCGGAGATGTCTCCTTCACTTGTTGTATTGAATAGTTATATGTCGAAAAACTAATAGAAAATTTTAAAAACGGCAAAGTTATATTTTTTTTGTATATTTTTCCGATTGTTCCTATGGGAGCTATATGATATAGTCGTCCGATTTTGATGAAATTTAAAACGTAAATCGAAAATATTTAATCATTACTATATGTCGAAGAAATAAAAAAAAAATTAAAAAACAGCAAAGTTTTAATATTTTTTTCGATTGTTCCTATGGGAGTTATATGCTATAGTCGTCCGATCCGGCTCGTTCCGACTTATATACTACCTGCAATAGAAAGACAACTTTTGGGAAAGTTTCATGCAGATAGCTTTAATACTGAGAGACTAGTTTGCGTAGAAACAGACGGACAGACGGACAGACTGACAGACTGACAGACTGACAGACGGACAGACGGACAGACTGACAGACTGACAGACGGACAGACGGACATGGCTAGATCGACTTTGCTAGTGATGCTGATAAAGAATATATATACTTTATAGGGTCGGAAATGTCTCCTTCACTGCGTTGCAAACTTCTGACTGAAATTATAATACCCTCTGCAAGGGTATAATAAAAAAAATTATAACCTTGCTGTTTTTTAATTTTATTTTTTTTTCTTCGACATATAGTAATGATTAAATATTTTCGATTTACGTCTTAAATTTCATCAAAATCGGAAGAGTATATCATATAGCTCCCATAGAAATAATAAATAGATATAAAATATCTATCTAATAATTATGTTGCAAATCATCATAGCTGCAATGTTTTTAAGCATATACGCAAGTAAATCATAATTTTAATGTTTTCAAAATTATTTAATTCTTGCAATAGCTGCAAGGGTATATGAACTTCGGTTTGCTGAAGTTAGCTTTCTTTCTTGTTAAGAATAAACTCATATTGTCGGGACTTCAGTTTTAACAATATATGTAAACTTTGTCGAGCTCTATCATCTATATTCGGAAACCTATACTTAAAGCAGATAGAATGATGTATTACTAGTGCAATAAGCTATCGATGACCGAAATCGGTTAAGCAGAACTGGAGCTAACAAAATTATCATTAAAACAGGTGATCAAAGTTATTTACACTTTTTAAAAAAATTGCACCATACAAAAAATGTTGAAATATTGTTTGAATCGGAGTTCTTCTGCATCGGAGAAGCAAGGTTTGATTTCTAGACTTAAATTTAAATTTGTAAGCCAGTGGTATTCATTATTTCAGTATTTTAAAATAAAAACGATTTGTGGGCGTTAGAGTTTGCGTGACTCCGTTTTGAAATAAATTTGAACATGTAAGAATATCAATTTTCGTTTAAAGCGGCTTAATAGGTTATCCATGGTAATGAATAGTACATTTTAATACCCATAAAGAGATGAAGCTAATTTCAGTCAAGCGTTTTACGTTTTGTAGTGAAGGAGACATTTCTGGCCGTACAAAGTATATAATGGAAAAAACAACATTTTTTCGATATATTAGGAAAACACAACAACCCGTATCCATTTTTTTTTAATTTTGTTCGAAATTTTTTTTACAGCATCTTAAAGTTTTAGGCACCTTTATATTATAAATTCATAACTTTATCAATTTTTGTTAAAAGCGGTGTATTAGGTTATCTAGGCTAAACAACTGTACATTTTAATAATCATACAGAGATCAAGATAGTTTTAGTCATAAGTTTGCAATGCAGTGAATGAGTCATTTTCGGTCCTACAAAGAAGGTTTGTTTTAATTGAATGAAATTTTTACAAAAAAAATATGAAAGCGCAAATCCTATCGATAAAAATGTATTTTGTATTTTTAAATTTAAAATTAAGACATTTTTAAGCTCTTTTAAATATACAACATTTCTTTATAAAACTTTACTTTCCGCTTATTAGCTTATTAAATTATGGGGGTACAAAAACTTGTCTGTATGGAGCGGTTTTTTTGTGAAACCAAAAACGAAACAAACTTCACACGTTCATATATGCGCTTTACACATATTCATGCCACTCAGTTCTATATTTAGAATTCCTTGTAGTTGGCTTTAAACTTTTGCCCAAACGTAAATGCCTTCTGGATTTTAAGTTTTAAGTTTTTTCAACTTTAATGTCTTTACTCGATTTATTTGTCTTCTTTTGTTGTTCTATATATTATGTATATTTTTATACCCTTGCAGAGACGTTGCCGACCCTAAAAAGTGTATATATTCTTGATCAGCATCACAAGGAGAGTCGATCTAGCCATGCCCGTCTGTCCGTCCGTCTGTCTTTCTGTCTGTCCGTCTGTCCGTCCGTTTCTACGCAAACTAGTCTCTCAGTTTTAAAGCTATCTGCCTGAAAAAGCTATCTTTCTATTGCAAGTAGTATATAAGTCGGAACGAGCCGGATCGGACGACTATAGCATATAGCTCCCATAGGGTCAATCGTATAGCTGCCATAGGAACTATCGAATTATTAATCATCATAGCTTCAATGTTTTTAAACATACACGCAAGTAAATCATAATTTTAACGTTTTCATTTACCCATGCATAGGGTATTATAATTTCAGTCAGAAGTTTGCAACGCATTCAAGGAGACATCTCCGACCCTATAAAATATATATATTCTTGATCAGCATCACTAGGAGAGTCGATCTAGCCAGTAAAGACATTCAAGTTGAAAAAAATTGAAATCCAGAAGGCATTTACCTGTGACCAAAATTTTGAGGCCAACTACAAGGAATTCTAAATATAAAACTGAGTGGCACGAATATGTGTAAAGCGCATATATGAACGTGGGAAGTTTGTTTCGTTTTTGGTTTCACAAAAAACCGCTCCACAGAGACAAATTGTTGTACCCCCATAATTTTATAAGCTAATAGCGGAAAGTAAAGTTTCATAAAAAAATGTTGTATATTTAAAAGAGCATAAAAATATCTTAATTTTAAAATTAAAAATACAAAATACATTTTTTTCGATAGGATTTGTTTTTATATTTTTTTTTTGTAAACATTTCATTCAATTCAAACCTTCTTTGTAGGACCGAAAATGACTCATTCACTGCATTGCAAACCTTTGACTGAAATTATCTTGATCTCTATATGATTATACAAATGTACAGTTGATTAGCCTATATAACCTAATACACCGCTTTTAACGAAAATTGATAAAGTTATGAATTTATAATATAAAGGTACCTAAAACTTTAAGCCTCTGTAAAAAATAATTGGAACAAAACAAAAAAAAAAGGTGGATATATCGAACAAATGTCTTTTTTCCATTATATACTTTGTACTGCCGGAAATGTCTTCTTCACTACAAAACGTCAAACACTTGACTGAAATTAGCTTCATCTCTTTATGGGTATTAAAATGTACTGTTCATTACCACGGATAACCTATTAAGCCGCTTTAAACGAAAATTGATATTCTTACATGTTCAAATTTATTTCAAAACGGAGTCACGCAAACTCTAACGCCCACAAATCGTTTTTATTTTAAATTACTGAAATAATAAATAACACTGGCTTACAAATTTTCATCGATTAAATGCACCAAAGATCAAACCTTGCTTTTTCGATGCAGATAAACTCTGATTCAAACAATGACTCAACTTTTTTATGTGCATAAAGTTAGCAGAACAACTTTTGAAATTTGAACTTTTTTCTTATCGACAATTTGCCGTTATTTATCCGTAAATTATTCGTAAAAAAAAATTTCCGCTTTCTTTTTTTTTAAATTATAAGATGTTCTGCTAACTTGATATAAAGCTAGCAGAATTTTTTTTTAATTATGAGATGTTCTGCTAACTTGATATAAAGCTAGCAGTACAGTAGAATTTGCCGTTATTTATCCGTAAATTATTCGTGAAAGAAAAAAATTTGCAACTCGTGTTTTTATATTTTTTAAAGAAATAACAAACAAAATTTATAAAATGCATGCATACATACATATGTACATACATATGTATAAGAAACTCGTGGACGACGACAGACCCAGTCGGATGTTAGAGAACCCAGTCGGAAAAAACACGCTTCCAGGATGTGCTTTTTTACGCTTCCTTTGCATGCGAAAAACGCACTCCAGATCCCTGAAAGCTCCCTTTCCTTTTTGTTCGAGACGGGACAAAAAGCAAGCCTTCTTTTAGAACCGATCTAAGACCGAGTCTTAATGCGTTCCATTGGAAGGTAGTTCCAACTTCGGAAACGCTCGGCTTTCCTTTCCATTTGTACTTTACGCAGGAAGCATTCTACAGCGCTCTGTTAAAATGAACTTAGAACCGTTCCTCGGGAACCTTCCTGGATAGCTTCCAAAGCAAGCATTGCGTAACACATCTAAAGAATGAATATTGATCCCTTCCACAAGAACACATTTAGTATGATTCCAAAACATGCCTTCTAATAGTCTTACCGAAGAATGCAAATATTATCGTTCCCAAAAAAGCTATTGGGAACCGTTTCTTTATTCAATTCCAATTTTTATTATTATTTATTATTTATTTAATTTTTTTTTTATAAATGTTTGATTTAAAATTTATTGTAATTAATTATAATTACTATAATTACTACGGGTCGTTTTTTTCTTCTCTCATCCCTTCTGCTATATTTTAACCTTGTAAGTTTTGTTCTTAGCCCTAGAGAAGGCCAGTCAATGGTTTTTTTTTGAGGTCGGTGAAGCTGTAGCCGTCCCTCGTTTGTGACTCTAAAAATATAATAATGAAAAAGTATAATATAAAGTATAATAATCAGAAGGAAATATGTAATTTTTTAAAAATATGATTGTAAGTTTGTAAAACACTTACCGAATAATGTATCATTTAAATGAATGTAAGACGCAAGACCTTCCCTGTCCCTAGTACCGCCATAATTATGCTCCATTTCCCATATCCTACTGAAGATCTAGATTTTCCGAATTCAAAAATTTTTAAAAGTGCATCAAGTTGAACTCTAGTAACATTATTATTATGGTACCATTCTAATAATTTTTCACGGAGATTTATAGGTATCATACTCAAAAGAATAGTTTGATGCACTTTTATCCGATTCGGGTTCACATAAATTTGGGCATTCATTTCCAGAATTATTTTCTGTATCAAAAGTAAGAGCTCTAGCAGCCGATTGATGAAGCTCTTCCTTTTGCTTTTTCGTTAAACGGTGAATATTTGACCGCGACATTCTCCTCATTTTAAATGATATTAGTTTTGTTTATTTTGTAAAATATTTTTTTTCAATTTAATTATTACATTTTTTATTTATGTAATGTCTAATTATTTAAATTTATGTTTATTTATTAGGTCCACCCTAAAAAACACAACTTGTATGTAGATGTTAGTTCACGCTAGGTAGAAGTAAAAGGAAGAGAGAAAAAAGAGAGCACACAAATAAGCAAAACGAGTTCACAAAAAGAAAAATTTAAATTTATGAAATATATATAAATTACCTTTTGTCTTGAAATAGTTTTTCTGGTATTAAACGAAAATAATATTTAAAACGCATTAATTAAATTAAAACTCAAGTCTTATTGCAGTGTACGATCAATAAATAATTAATTTAACAGCCACACACAGTTTTAAGAACAATTTGTTTACATTTGTTTTGACCGTACACTGTTTTTAAGACTGTTAATAAGTGTTTATAAATTTAATATTTTTTTGGCACAGGTACATATCACTTATTGTTTTAATTAATCCAGTGTTTGGTTCATGTTGTTTTATTAACAGTATTGGAACTCCTATTTAGTTTGTTTATATCAACACTCAACAAACTAAGTAGGAGTTCCAATACTGTTAATTAAACTATACTTACTTGAAAATTAAAACCGCAAAGAATATATTAATTTCACAAATCACAGAGGCACAAGCTATTTCAATTGAAAATCAAAATGCAAGTGGCGAGTAAAGCAAAAGAAACTTTAGAATGCATAAACAATGCTTCTTTATAGCTTCTTACATTCTTTTTCGCTTGCAAAGCATGCATGAAAGAAGCTTTTTTTATTGGAATGCGTTCCCAGTCGGAAGTTAGTTGTTTATGCATTCTAAAGAGTTTTTGTGCATTCTAAAGAGTTTTTGTGAAATCGTCCCTTCAACTTTAATGCATAAAAAGCCTTATTTTGCAATGTAAACAAAAGGCTGAAACCCGAACGCTGCCGATAGTCCGATATTTTTTAGATCGTGTTTTTCACCGAAAACCTCGCTTACGAAAGAACGCAAAAAGAAGTCTTGTTTCGGAATGGACAAAAAATGGGAAACCAATTTAATCTATTTTTCTTAATGAACAGCAGCGGCGTAAATATATTCACTTTTTATCTTTAAAGTCAATATCAGAACGCTTTGTTATGTTGGTGGTATATGACTTGTTAAACTTTTTCTAAAATTAATTCTGTAAAAAATATTAATATTTAATTTTATTAATAATAATATTTATTGTATATTGTATTAGAAAATTATTAATTTGAATCAGTTTTTTATATATTTTAATTTTATGTATTAATATATAAACGGTTACATGATTTCTTTTCAAAGCGTGATTTTGTTTTGAATTATTATTTTACATTTGCCGGCGCTATAGTTTCCTCCGCCACTGTATACACAAGGAGTAACCGAACAAAACGGTACTCTAAAAAGCAAACAACAAGAACAAAAGGGAAATGGCAAGAAAGCGCGCGGCCTTTTTCGTTTCTTTTGCATTTCTCGCCACTTGCATTTTGATTTTCAATTGAAATAGCTGGTGTTTGATTTGATTTGTGATTTGTGAAATTTATATATTCTTTGCGGTTTTAATTTTCAGGTAAGTATAGTGTTGATATAAACAAACTATAAAGGAGTTCCAATACTGTTCATAAAATAACATGAACCAAACACTAGATTAATTAAAACAACATGTGATGTGTACCTGTGCCAAAAAAACATTAAATTTATAAACACTTATTAACAATCTTATATACAGTGTACGGTCAAAACAAATTGTTCCTAAAACTGTGTGTGGCTGTTAATCAAACAACTAAAAATAATTATTTATTTGAGCGTACACTGCAATAAGACTTGAGTTTTATTTAATAATAAATACATATCCATAAATTCTGTTAATTTAATTAATGCGTTTTAAATATTATTTTCGTTTAATTCCAGAAGAACTAGTTCAAAACAAAAGGTAATTTATATATATTTCATAAATTTAAATTTTGTGTTTTTTGAACTCGTTTCGTTTATTTGTGTGCTCTCTTTTTTCTCTCTTCCTTTTACTTCTACCTATGGTGGACTTACATCTACATAAAAGTTGTGTTTTATTAGACCTAAGAACACAAATTAAGTGAACAAAAATTTAAGAAAAATAAACATAAATTTAAATAAATAAACATTACATAAATAAAAAAATTTAATAACTTAATTGAAAAAAATATTTTACAAAACAAACACAACTAATATAATTTAAAATGAGGGGAATGTCGCGGTCAAATATTTATCGCTTAACGACGAAAACAAAAGGAAGAGCTTCAGCAATCGGCTTCTAGAGCTCTTACTTTTGATACAGAAAATAATTCTGGAAATGAATGCCCAAATTTATGTGAACCCGAATCGGATAAAAGTGCATCAAACTATTCTTTTGAGTATGATACCTATGAATCTCCGTGATGGTACCATAATAATAATGTTACTAGAGTTCAACTTGATACACTTTTAAAAACTTTTGAATTCGGAAAATCTAGATCTTCTATAGGATATTAAGTCCAAGTTTGATAATGGAGCTTAATTATGGCGGTACTAGGGACAGGGAAGGTTTTGCGTCCTACATTCATTTAAATGGAACATTATTCGGTAAGTGTTTTACAAACTTACAATCATATTTTAATAAAATTACATTTTTCCTTCTCATTATTATATTATATATTATATTTTCTCATTATTATATTTTCAGAGTCACAAAGAAGGGACGGTTACCGCTTCACCGACCATATTAAAGACCTTCGACTGGCCTTCACTAGGGCCAAAAATAAAACTTACAAGGCTAAAAGTATGGCCAAAAAGATGAGAGAGGACGAAAACGGCCAGGAGTAATACAATAAGTTTTAAAGCATGTTTATGTTAAAAAAAATTAAATAAATAAAAATTGGAATTGAAAAAAGAAACGGTTTCCAATAGCTTTTTTGGGAAGGATAATATTTGCATTCTTGGGTAAGACAATTAGAAGGCTAGTTTTGGAATCATACTAAATGTGTTCTTGTGGAAGGGATCAATATTCATTCTTTAGATGTGTTACGCAATGCTTGCTTTGGAAGCTATCCGGGAGAGTTCCCGAGGAACGTTTCTATGTTCATTCTAACAGTGCGCTGTAGAATGCTTCCTTCGTAAAGTACAAATGGAAGGGGAACCCGAGCGTTTCCGAAGTTGAAACTACCTTTCAATGGAACGCATTAAGACTCGTTCTTAGATCGGTTCTAAAAGAAGCCTTGCTTTTTGTCCCGTCTCGAACAAAAAGGAAAGGAAGCTTTCAGGGATCTGGAATGCGTTTTTCGCATGCAAAGGAAGCGTAAAAGAACGCATCCTGGAAGCGTGTTTTTTCCGACTGGGGTGCAAATTATTAACACAAAGATGTGCGAACAAGGCAATGAGTGTGTGTTGACCGCTGATGTAAAACGTCGACGCCACCAGAGCTCTGCTTACGTTGACGCCCAAAACGCATAGTTCCCGCGAAACCTGCGGATAAGAAAAACATTGTCAACAGTGACTGGGAGCATATTTTAATTTTAGGGTTTTAAGTCAATTGATTAACTAAATAGCTAGTTTACTAATGTAGACAATGTTTAGAATTCTGAGCCTTGGACGTCGACGTTAGCAGAGCTCTGTCGGCGTCCACGAGTTCATATACATACGTACGCATGCATTTGATAAATTTGGTTTGTTATTGCTTTCAAAAATATAAAAACACGAGCGGCAGCTTTTATTCTTTCACGAATAATTTACGGATAAATAACGGCGAATTCTCGTTAAGCAAGAAAGGAAGCAAACATCGGCAAGCCGAAGTTTTTATATCCTTGCAGCTACTGCAAAAATTATTTGTTCTTGAAAACATTAAAATTATCAATTAATTGCATATGCTTAAAAACATTGATGGTATGTTGATTTTCAGCTTAGTTATTCGATAGTTCCTATGGCAATTATATGATATCGTTTTCCGATTTTAATAAAATTAAAAGCGTAATTTTGAACTGTCAAATTATTAATAAGTCAAAAAGAATTTAAAAAAAAATTGCAAAATAGAAAAAATACATTCAAAAAATAAAATTGTTTCCATGGGAGCTATATGGTATAGTCGTCCCATTTTGATGAAATTTAAACCGTAATTCTGAAATAATTAACCATTACTATGTGTCACAGAAGCTAAGTTATAATTTTTATATCCTTGCAGAGGGTATTATATTTTCAGTCAGAAGTTTGTAACGCAGTGAAGTAGACATTTCCGACCCTATAAAGTATGTATATTCTTGATCAGCATCACTAGGCGAGTCGATATAGCCATGTCCGTCTGTCCGTCTGTACGTCCGTCTGTCCGTCCGTTTCTACGCAAACTAGTCTCTCAGTTTTAAAGCTATCTGCATGAAACTTTCCCAAAAGTGGTCTTTCTATTGCAGGTAGTATATAAGTCGGAACGAGCCGGATCGGACGACTATAGCATATAGCTCCCATAGGAACAATCATAAAATATGAATAAAAAAAATTATAACTTTGCTGTTTTTTAATTTTTTTTTCTTAGTTTAATATTTCAGAATTCCGTTTTAAATTTTATCAAAACCTGACGACTATATCAGATAGCTCCCATAGGAACAATCGGGAAAAAAATACAAAAAAATTATAACTTTGGTGTTTTTTAATTTTGTTTTTAGTTCTTCGGGATATAGTAATGGTTATATATTTTAGAATTACGGTTTAAATTTCATCAAAATCGGACGACTATAACATAAAGCTCCCATGAAAACAATAAATATATTAAAAAATAAAAAACTTTTAAACTTTTTAAATATGTAATTTTTTTCAGAAATTCTTTTTGATTATTTTATTATTTGACAGTTGTGAATTATTCTTTTATTTATTAAAATTGGAATTTTATTATTAAAATCGGAAAACGATATCATATAGCTGCCAAAGGAACTATCGAATAATTATGCTGCAAATCATCATAGCTTCAATGTTTTTAAACATATACGCAAGTAAATCATAATTTTAATGTTTTCAAGAATATTTCGTTTTTGCAATAGCTGCAAGGGTATATGAACTTCGGCTCGCCGAAGTTTGCTTCCTTTCCTGTCCTAATACCTATTCCCATTTATTTTGTGAAACTAAAACGAAATGCTTCCGTAAATGCGACTATAATAAGCCCCACTACTTGATTACTGAATACAACAGGACAATTGCACAATTGCATGTGTATGGAAAGTGCCACTGAATTATTCTATAGCGTTTAAAATACGTTTTTAATGAATGCGTTCCTGAAAGTCTTCCTCCAAGACATAACAGAACTCCGTGGTTTACACAAGAGCTTCAAAGACTTAAAAACCTAAAAACAAACACTTACAAAAAGTACAAAAGGTCGACCAAGCCATCTGATTTTTATACCCTTGTAGAGAGTATTATAATTTCAGTCAGAAGTTTGCAACGCAGTGAAAGAGACTACTCCGACCCTATAAAGTATACATATTCTTGATCAGCATCACTAGAAGAGTCGATCTAGCCATGTCCGTCTGTCCGTCCGTCTG